ACGTTGGTAAACCTGGTGTGTTCTCGTATATTATGTAGGTTAAATGTGAACTCTTTTCAAGTAAAATTTAATTCTGGTAAGAGTTATACTTGTTCGGGTAGTATCCTTACTATACTTTAACAGATTTTTACTTAAAGACTTGTAATATGGAATGAATAAATTATTGATGGAGAATAAAGTAGAAGATTTTACTGTACTTATGAGTAAAAAATATATTCAATAAAAAAATAACCATTTAAATTGTTGGCACTATTAGACTGATGACATTTAATCTACAAAACCGTTCAACGTTCAATCACTAGAAAGAAGTATTTTTAATGGGTGTTGAAATTCGATGGACAAGTTTTATGGAAAAATAGCTACTAGATTTAAATGATTTTTTATGCTTAATATCAGAAAATTTAAATATATACATATACTAGCAGTACCCGCGGCTTCGCCTGCGTCCAAACTTCTGATCGCTAAAAAAAATCACAGGATCACCCGCTGGGCTAATCTAAAGATTATCTGAAAATTTCATCAAAATCGCTCCAGCTCTTTTGGAGTCCATAGGAAACATACACAATTGCATCGATATTTATTTTATTTAAACATCAATTTAAATTTATTTATTGCTCGGAAAATGGAGGTTTTTATGAAAATTTAGCGACACACCGACTGCCGCGCCACCTACCGGGTCCATTTGTGTTTTCAAACCTTGCAGGAACCCATTGAAATATACACACAAAATTTCATCCAAGTCGGTCCAGCCCTTTAGGAGGAGTAGGATAACAAATACACGTACAGAAGAATTATATATATTAAGATATACTCGTACTTAAATGAATTTCAAAATTATCACGATTGCGTAAATAAAAATGCGTATATTTTATATTTGAAAATCGAACCATAACAAACATACAAACAAAAACTAAGTTACCTACCTATCTGTCATTTAAATTTAAAAAAATGGTTTAAAGATCTAGAATTATTAAAAATTGTTAAAGTGCCCCAAACAATGCAATCTTACCCGAATATGACCAAATCGATAGGAGATATTTTGAATCTGCAAGTTAATTTTGAAAAATGCTTGAGGAGTCTATCACAGTAACTGATGGTGGTAACATATTAATAATTCTATAATACATTTTTTAAATAAAATCAATTTTAGTAGAGAATGAAATAATTGACTAAGTTCACGTCACCAATCACATCTTCGGATAAATTATATACCTTCAGAATGCCAAATCAAACTTTTCAGAGAACTTCTCGATTTCAACTACGAGACTGCAGAATATTACGGAAATCAATGACTCGCGGGCAATATATGTACTCATCACGATGATCAATTATTGTCTATTGAAAGATACTTAGTATTCCCGATGATCGGGATTATGACATTTCTAGACGCTCCCAGCTTAATGTGATAAGTGCCTTTTAATCATAATATATCCTTTTTAAAATAATTGCCGTTGATTACAATTATAACGCAGCTAATTACTATTCGCTACTGTCGGTGACTCCACACGGGTTTGTTCTATTTTTCCGGTAACCATTAAATTTAACAGCTCTACACTAAATTATCTTTTGCATTTCATAGATCTAAGAGTCACACAAAAAATTCAAAAACTACAGATTTAGGTTTTTTGAGTTTGAATTCAGACAAAGAAAAGAAAAAGTCCACATGGACTTTTTAACCCCAACGAGCCACGAAATGGGGTTTGAGGTTATGCACAAAAATTTATGCTATACATTAAAAAAAAACAATTGTTGTACGTAAAACCTTATGTTATAAGCTATATAAATAGAAAAAACTTAAGTTTGTAATGTTACAAACATAATTTTCAGGCTAAAAGTAAAACATTCGAAAAATTTTACTTACGTCAATTTTTTGAGCAGCAAGCGCGTGCAGTCCGAACGGCAGGCCACTAGGCATTCGTGTTACGTTCCACTGCCCCGAGATCCTCTTGCAACGAAAATCTCGAAATCTCTGATGAAACATTATTTTCGAAAATAGATATGGTGGACCTTTTACTCGGGGAATTTTTAGCCCTGCTCTACCCTAATTGAAAATTCATATTTGGTGTAATCCTCGAAACTGGATAAACGAAAATGGAGCTCGATCTGTGTTCTCGCTTTTATGGCCAGATCAGCTTGGGGTTAACCCCGAGTTAGGTTAACCTAACCTAGATTTAATATAGATCTAGGAATACAATTTGCTCTTTTACTATTGCCATATTATATTTTATCTTTATTGTTTAGTTGAAAAATTATAAATGTAAATAAAAGAATTAGTCCATTAGTTCGTTATAGTTTTTATTATGATAGTTATTATTTTAATTTAGCTTTGTCGATTAAAAAAAGCTTCATTATTATTTACTCAAGGTAATATTTGTATTTTGTAGACTATTATTACAACTGTTGGTACTTTAAAGCTTATACGATACTGCGTAAAGTTATTTAACTTGCATTCAGCACTTTAAAAGTTTTATTATGTGTTTTGTCTATTCCACGAGAAAATTGATAACTTCGTTCTTGGCATTTCAACAATGTTCTACGACCGGAATGATCCGAACGTTTAATGATCCTTCATTCCATTTTCCACTAAATAACAACAATTTTCATATATACGTATTCCGAGTAATAGCTTTGAGTTTTATACACGCAAAACATCCAACACAAAGAAACAATTTAGAGTTAAGTGTTCTAATATAATTTATAACAAACGTCGACCACTTCACAGTGAAATAGATATTATAGCATTAAAATAAGAAACAAATAAATATAAATTATGTTTAAAAATGTGTTAGAATTAAATGATTAGAATTACCTAACATATAACATAGAGTTAAAACGATTACGTTTAAACAAATTGTCTTCGGGAATAAAATATATCATTTAGTCAAAGCCTCATTGAAAACGGCTCAGCTTCAAGAAAAGTAGTACACAAACAGTTGAGAAAGACATGGCTTTTCGTACCATGCAAGTAATAATAACAATAGAATAACTATTTTGAATCCCGGACAGACACTTAATTTTTATTTATAAACTAGCAGTACCCCGCGGATCCGCCCACGTTCAATTGCTGGTATAGCACATGTTTAGTATATGGGGGATCCCATGGTTGTTTTTATTTTTAATTTCTAGAATAATCTTTTGGTTTTCATGAAACTGTAATCTTCGAAATACATATAATGAATAAAAAAAATGAAATTGAAATGTTTAGCCATTCCGAGAAAAGTATGTTTTATGGTCTGGAGAGGCAGAAAATCACCCCCAACTTCAAGTGGGCGTTTACATTTAAAAAAAATCGTTCAGTTCATTTCTATTCCCTTAGTTTCATGGAAATCAAAAGATTATTCTAGAAATTGAAAATAAAAAATCAAGAAAAAGTTAAAAACCGAGTATTTTGCAAATATCTCGCAAACTTTGAAATTATTGTAAAAAGTGTTATTTATAAAAGTTGTAGATTTCTACTAAACCTACAACTTTTGTACAAAACATTTTCCGATAGAACGTCACAGTAAAGCGGAAATTGAAAAAAAAAAACGGCATTTACGAATTTGAATTCCCTATATAACTTTTTTTTTAACGTTGGGAAATGCATTTACGCACGAGGTGTGGGACTCACCGGCAAAGCCAGTACTACCCACCAAAACAAAACCTTCCCTCGTCTTAATGGGGCGTCAAAAGCTTTGTATCCGACCGGGATTTAAATTCGAATCGATTCTGGACACCTGTGATTTTTAATCTTGCGCCTTGGCTGCTTGACCACGATGCTTATACCTGAGCGTGCGAAATTAGCGACCATATTTTGCGTGGAATAATGCGAAAGAAAACCGCATGAAAACTCGAAAACACGCACTTTCCTTGACATAAGTCTAATCTAGATCGATTTTTTGCTCCCGAAAACCCTACATGCCCAGCAAAATCCTTAGTGCCGTTTCCGACATCGCCGGTATAAATAAACAAAAATTGCTCGCTTAAAGGTATTAGAATTTAGAAATATCTATTAAAAAAAATTGTGCAATATCGTCACTTTTCAATTGTTAGTTTCTTATCAAAATTATCCTAAATTGCCAGGAACTCTCATCTCTGGCTTTTTGTACTTGTTAGAGCCTAACAGAGCCTATAGGAATCTACTGTAGTATTAATCACTCACAAAATTGTAACCTATAGATGGCAAATAACCGTATTCAGGCCTGAGGTATTGAGTATTGAATTGTTTTTTTTACCACTTTATATTTAAAAACCCATAACAGATCAAGGGCTCTTCAAAAGAATTTGCTACGGCCCCGCGCTTGCTTAATCCGGCACTGACTAAAATAGTATAGAATATAAATGTATGGATATAATAAATTATTCAAATCTAACATTTCCTCTTTCCTCTTCTTCCTTTTATTATTACGAATATGAAAATTTGAGAAGGTTGAATCTTTGTGACACTATAATTAGTAAGCCGATTAATAAATGGTCGGAGAACCTTGAAAAAAAAGACACTTTTTCACAGTGGGTAAAGTCCCGTGAGGAGATCTAGTTGTCTATGATTATTTACAAATAGATTACTCTTCAACACAAGCATTTATAGTCTATAAATACAACTACATTGTCCATTCATTTACACGATAATTAATGAAGAACTACCAGACTAGAAAATTATTTCCTCCAATCGGGAATATATTACGTTTAATAGCTTATAAAAAATTTGCATTTATATGTTTTAGAAATTGAAGTGTATACTTATGAGCATTGCAAATATTTGTATCAGCACTACGCAAGTCCTCGCATGTATGACCTTCGTTATCGACTACCACTAATCAATTCGTAAGAAATTATCATTCTTCATAAGTCTAACATCGGAATATAGTGGTGCTATTACTTATATACTCATTTTCTTAACGTCGCATTTAAAAACTTTTTTTGATTTTTCATTTTACAATCACGAAATCAAAATTTTATAATCATAAAGCCCGGAGTTAATTATGTTCTAATGCGCATAATAATATTAAAATTATTTACAGGCAAACCACCGGATTTCTTAGCTTTTGGAATCACACTAATGATGACCATGGTGCTCGTTGCGGGCGTTAAGAAATCCCTCTTCTTCAACAATGTTCTAAACGCCATCAATCTAAGTGTATGGGTGTTTATAATGACTGCTGGGCTATTTTACGCCGATACTAGTAATTGGACACAACATAAAGGCTTCTTACCTTATGGTTGGTCTGGGGTAAGTGTAAAAAACAAAAATATTAAATTGTTTTTTTTTATTTTAATTTTTGGTACTCTTATGTACTTATTTATGATTTTATAAGGAAATAGAAAATAAATAAATCTTTTTAATAAAAAAACTATATAGATAGGTACTATGTATGTATATGAATATCTAAAGTGCCTCACAAGTATGTTAATAAACATACATTTTTAACATCATTAAAACTATACAAAATATAATAAAATAATTAACGAAGCGAAATCTATACATGAAATATTTTCTTAAAGCTAATAACACTTAGATACGTATTGTGCACAGATTATAGACCCCAAAACAATAGTTATTGAATTTTTTGTCTGTTTGTCTGTATATATTTTTGCTTTTCATGCATAAAGTTTCTATATATATATATATATATATATATATATATATATGTATAAGTTTAAATTTTGTGTTGCGTAGTTTACAGCTTAAACATTTAGGATACGTTTTACTATATGAAAATCTCTCATTCCCATGAGAAAATACAATAACCGGTCGGCCGATTTATCCTACACACAAAAATTTCAAATATATACTATTACACAAAAGCTTTTAGTAACAGGGTTATAATTAACATATTCAACAATTTAGTGCACTAAAATGTCACTTTTTCATGGGAAATTGCAAAATTTTATTCGGACGCTATTATATCTCTACATAGTGTAAAACTAAGTCACCATTTGGCATTGTCTGTTTCTTTCCTTACTTGTTCTAAATCAGGCTACGGATTTTGAAACAGTTTTCATTAGTAAAATAAGTTATAAGCGTGGAAGTTTAGTGTATATAATTTGTAGATATTTTGTACAGGATGGCTGTACTATGACGAATTTTTGTAAAAAAATCTGTTTTCGTACACTATACGCGGGCTGGCTAAGCCTTAAGAGATATATCAAAACAATGTATCACGAAAAAGTAAATCTTAAAAAGGCTTACAGAAAAGTCTGCAAACGTAGGTGTGTATCTAATTGGAACGAAGACACTTAACGCGGCTTGTGGTAGGAGTTGTGGGAGATCTTGTCGTGGTGGGGAGGCTCATTAGCGGCCGGCAGTTCAGCCGGGCACGAATCCAAAAAACGCACACGGATGTAGTCCACTTCGGTGGCCGGTGGGAGGAGGCCCACTTCGATGGGCGGTGTACCATGCGGGTAGCTCCTGGTACTTCTCTGATAGCAGAGTGGACTGTGGAGCAACCCCATGGTTACAACAACCACAACGGTCTGCTTTGGCAGACCTGCCATCGGGGCGTTGTAGTTGAGTGCGTAAGCGATCCTGCGACGTCCCATTAAGACGGGGGAAGGTTTTGTTGAGTTTAGTGGGTAGTACGGGCTTTTCTAGGCGGTGAGTCCCACATAACCACCTGTATGTCTACAGTTGGTATGCGTAAATGCATTTCCCAATATGACAGGTAGAAATCGTAACATAACCAAAAAACCTTTCGTCCAGCGTAGTTTGGACGTTATCGTCAAGCACTGGCCGCCATACTTTTTACCGTTTACATCACGTGTTAGTTAATCATTTCCAGTTAGCATTGTCCGCGGCTTCGCTTGCATTCAGATGACCGAAAAGAAAATTCTTAGGTTTTATATATTAGTATACTCTTACAATGCAGTTTTTGTATTTTTTCTCAGAAATTAGATATTTTTCCGCGGTAAAAAGTATCCTATATGTTGACCTGGATAACCAACTATCATCATACCAAATTTCATGAAAATCCCTCCAGTGGTTTTTCCGTGATGCGGTAACAGACAGACAGACCAAAATTCTAAAAACTATAGATTCGGCCTCTGTATCGATAATAATGTCTATTTCAATAAGATTTTCCAAAAATTATTTAATATACAGATTCGGCTTAGTTACAATTTTATTATATGTATAGATAGATAAGCATACTGCATAGGTACTATGTCATTTCATAACACACGTAGAACGACTATAAACACAAACCATACATGTATGTATGACGTACATATGTAAACAGTAAATACACACAGGGCAGTGCTGTGCTATGATGCAAAGAGGCGGCCGCCTCAGGCGGCGCAAAGTGGGACCGCTATTTCGAGCTATAAATATCCTAAACTCTCATGCTCAACTTATATCGACTCAATTTTTTCTGAAGAAGAACCCCTTTTTATTCGTAATTTAACAGAATTGTCTAGGAATTACAATGATATACCTACCTATTATTATATAATAATATTTCAACAATATAATTCCAATAGTCTATATATAGATTAATATTACATACCTACTGTGACATATTGATAGACGGACGGACAAATATAAGGATTTCGTTTTTACCTTTTAGTTACAGAACTCTAATGAAAATTACCTAGGGGACATTTCCAATACTTGCACCATACTGAGAAAATCTAGGGCATTTCCCTAATTACACAGCTCGTCAATCTGCATACATTCACAGTCTAAAGCTTTATAATGACTTAAAACTATTGCTTTGATTGTGAAAATCAATATTTATAACATCACATTATTAAAATATTTTGTTTGAATTTTTCCACAATCAGCCATATTGCCGTTGTACCTCACCGCTTCCCTCAAGTATTAATTGTAATACACGGGCTTTATGAAATCGTAAAGCGAATTATAATATTAAATCCTTTGTAAAGTAAGTATATTGTATTTTGGGGGATCTCTTTTTATTATATTGTACATTAGATAATTATATCTATACATACCTATAACAAAACTGTAGAGGTCGAATGGCTGTACATAGAAAAAATATGCTAAAAACCGAGTCAGGGGGATGTAAGAAGAGATATAGAGTAAATCCAGTTTTTTTTTAATTTTTTACTTCTCTGTTTGTTTTGTTTGTACGGTCTAATCTATGAAACTGTTGGACCGATTTAAATGAAATTTTGCATGGTGGTACTTTTCATCCCGGAGAATTATAGAGTTCCCGTGGGATAGTTAAAAAACTATAGTAACTTATACAGCTTAGTACATAATTTGCACTTAATTTAGTAAAATTTAGCATGCTGATACCTTATATTGCCGGTCAAATAACAAGTTACATTTTATGCCGGAAAAATGAACAGTTCCCGTTCGATAAATCTGTTGCTGCTGCTTCTTCTAGTGGCGAACCCGAGCGAAGCGAGGATGAGCCTCTAGTGCCTAATAAAATAATTTAAAGTTACGTACCTAAGCAATATAACTGAAAGAATATTCAGTTATAATTACTCGTACTAATAGCGAAGACGTTAGAAAATATGTTTCAATCTTCTTCAATCGCGTTCTAATAAGAGCTCATAAAAGTTTTACCGCGTTACACATAAGGTTATTGTAAAATCCAGTAAATTATACGAGTAAAAAGCGTAGAGCATAATATCTAAGTATATTCTAGGTACAAAGTAAGATGATTTGTAAATGACCAAATCTTTTATCGGCAAGCTTAAAATTGTTTTGCTTATCATATTTGGCCGATAACTTTCATGTAATTATACCTATTGCTCTTTAATACAAATAATTCACTGTAATTAACCAATTTCCTCCCAAACGAACTTATCTTATATGTATATAATATTTATTATATCAAATGGAATGGAAATAAAGTTAGCCTATTAAGCAAGTTTTATCTCCTTTATTTTACTGTTTACCTGTTTTAAGTCTTGAGAGTTTCATTTCCTCATCATCTGGTTGTGGCATAGGTATAGCTATATATAGCATCTTGTCATTATGCGACTCATCGGGCTCGGCAATCGAGGTCAGTGAGATAGTATCAGCGTCGAGAACATAATCAATCAGGTTACAGTGTTCTGACATATAACTAAGAAATTAAACTGTCCAAAACAAGTTTGAATAGAGCTTTTTATTCAAATTTTAGGATTTTGGTGTTAAAATGTACTATTTGAGATAGATATTTAAACTTATGATTGCCATAAAAATATTGAAACACAGCCCACGTGCGACAATTGATTTATCACCTGGTATTGTAGGCCAATATTGGGAGTTTCAGAAATGATGTTATATAAATAGAAGTACACATACGGACGGGAATGTATATTGGCTTTAATAGAACTGTATACACTAACTAAAAATTTTTCGTATACCAGGTATTTAGTGGAGCAGCGACTTGCTTCTACGCTTTTATCGGCTTTGACATTATTGCAACTACCGGAGAGGAAGCGAATAACCCAAAACGCTCCATTCCCTTGGCCATTGTCCTTAGTCTTGGAATCATTTTGCTCGCCTACGTCAGCAGCTCCATGATGCTCACTTTGATTGGTAAGTTTATAATTTATATATTTTTTTTATTATAAGTATATTAGCAATAGCTATATTAGCTTGCTTTCGATTAGAATTAACCAGTCCTTTTCATGTTTTTTTCTTTAAGAACATTTAAATCTAGCTTCGTGTGCGTGGATTTTTAATTTTAATTCTCAGACATTAAGCACAGATTACATAACTCGTTAAATATAGTCGAGTCGACTCAAAGGAAAAAACATAATAAAGAGTAGATACATATGTACTCCAGCTGTACATACTTTTCGAAATTTAAATTGATGGAAATGTGTATTTCATTTTAAAGAAAATGTTTATGTTATAATTCAACGTACAGCGTTAATGTAAATAAACAATTACTTAAAATCAATAATATTCTGTTTTGTTAAAATTTTTATTGTATTTACGACATTTCGTAGTAGTGTGACGTTAAATAATAATTATAACTGAAGTATATATTATTTGTTTATAATAACACAAACTTTTAATTCAAAACGTTCATATAATTATGGTCCAATCAAATACAATCAAATTATCATATTCTAGCAAGAATAGCTTTATATAAACTTCATTTTGTTATAGCAATTAAAATAAATAAAATTCAAGGTTCCGGCCGCAATCCCGGACTCCATCAGGATTAAACCAGGGAAATTATGTCTGTTGGCCAATTTGTAAAAAGTCACGTTCGCATAACATTAACTTCTGTACTGTATGCATTTTAGAACCACAGAAAGTTTATAGCACAATAACGCAATGTTTCATAACAGTTTATTAATAAACATTATAATGTTTTATCTATTAGTAATTTAATAGTCTATTACCCCGTCACAGAAAAACCACTGGAGGGATTTTGATGAAATTTGTTATGGTGATAGCTGGTTATCCGGGTCAAAACATATGGGATACTTTTTACCGCGGGAAAATATCTCATTTATGAGAAAAAATACAAAAACTGCAATGTAAGAGTATACTAATATGTAAAACCTGAGAATTTGGTTGTTGGTCATCTGAACGCGGGCGGAACCACGGGCAATGCTAGTATGTTATAAAATAATTTAAAAACCGTTCACATCAGCTATTGGGTGAATTGCCTCACCGACGTGAACCTCGGTTTGATTGACATCCGGAATATATGTGTGTATTGACCGCACAGTTAATTTGTTTTCTTTAAATATAAAGCAAAATGCATTTGGATTAGTTATTCAAGACACGTTATTGTTTTGATAATGGACAGCCAATAGCCATATAATAAAATTCTAACTGAATCGAACCTGTAATGTACAATATGTGTCATTATTATGGATACAGAGGCCGAACCTATATTTTTATGTTTGTCCATCTGTCTGTCTGTCTGGGAATGCATCACGAAAATACCACTGGACAGATTTTAATGAAATTTGGTATGATGATAGCTGGTTATTAGGGTCAACATATAGGATACTTTTCACTAAAATATCTCACCTCTGAGAAATCTATATTAAACGTTAAAACGTAACTAGGGACGAAGCCTATATGTTATATGTGTAGTATATTATTATTATTATTATACAAGCATAAAAAAAGATATTCCTACTTAAAATTGATATTTAGCAAATTATAAAACAAGTTAATTCGTTGAACAAAAATAAACATTGTATTTAATCGTTGTCTTGGAATGTTGTACATAGGTATATAGCTAGGCTATAGCATAGAATAGCTATTTAGCTTATAGCTATTCATATAACACAATAGAACAATAACTATAACAATCTGAATTCTAGAATATTGCTAGAGAGTATAGTAAAGGATTTCTCATTTTAAACGCTTCCATGGTTTATTTCTGGGAAATCAATTGTTAACTGACATGCCAGCATATCCGCGACCCTTCAAACGTTTATTATTTTTTTAAATATTAAAGAAATTTAAAGTGATCTATTTGAAATTTACTTTCCTTGAGCTTTCTATATCCCATTCTCGGGCTCACTGTAACTTTTAATCAGCTAACATTAAAATCACTGGCTTTCGAGAGAAACTCTAATAATTAATGTCCGTATAGCGACATTAACACTTTTTTAGAAAATCTCTGATATTTAAATCACATATTTTGTAACAAGGTATTTTAACTGAGTCAAACTAACTTTTATATGACAGCTACATTTTTTTTTTACAGATTTTTTTATTTTTTCAACTGAGCGTGAAAATGTCGCGTAGTCGGTATCACTCACTATTTTGAACAATTTTAACAGTCATTAAATATACACTTTTACATATTGTTTTAAATATCTAAATAATGAATAGGTATATTTTATTATATTTGACACCTCAAAAGAAGTATCAATCACTTCTATAAATCATCTTTTCTTCTATAAATCGTAATTTAAAACATAAACAACTTGTACAAAAATTTTGCCTAAGAAATGATATTCCGCACTCGATTCAATTAATCTTCATTTCTAAATATTAATTTTGGAACTACTATGTATATTTTGAATAATTATACCAGCAAGCTACGTATCTTATTTTAAGTTTTGATGCAGATGTTTAGCAAAACGCCACTAATACTTATTTACAAATTCGAAAATTTGTGAAAATGGACGGATGTATCATGTATGTTTGTGACTCTTTCACGCTCAGATTATGATGAAACTTTATCAAGCATAACGTAACAAATAGACTATTTAGAAGGGTATAGTATGGAATACGTACTAATTGTACTACGCGTGAGACGATGGAAAACGTTAGTATAATATAAAAAGTGAATGTATAAAAAATTTACGAAGCTAGAATTAAAGACGCATGTTTCATACTATACCTACCTACTATATATTATAGTATAGGTATTGGTTATTTGCAATGATGAATTAAGATATTGAAAATAACCTTTTTCATACATTGTGCTTTCATACAGATCACCAGTTTTTTTTTGCTAAATACATTCACGCAAAAAGTTGATCAATCATTTGTAGTTACAGTATCATATTTTATTTCTCGAACTTTCAACTGTACTTGAATGTTTTGCGATGACATTAATAATAATAATAAATTCATATGATATATGCACACTGGATTAATCTAATTGATTATCACAGTATTGCTACTTGTTTTGTTGTATACTTGTGTTGATTGCATTGAAACTTAATTATCTGCTGATAATTCACTTCACAACACCACACTAGCATTGTTACTTTAATTATCCTTAATTGTTTTAGTGCCATACAATGAAGTGGATATGAACTCAGCATTAGTGCAGATGTTTTCGTATGTGCATGCACCAACTTGCAAGTACATCGTCGCACTCGGGGCCCTCGCTGGCTTGACGGTCTCCATGTTTGGCTCCATGTTCCCTATGCCGCGTGTTGTGTACGCAATGGCCCAGGATGGACTGATTTTCAGGTGAATACTGTAAGAATGCATACGTCTAAAGCAAACACTTTTGATGGCGTCACTATTCGGCCTTTGTACTATCAAAATATTTAATATATATGATATACGCATATGCGTATATGCGTGCTTCTTTATTTATAACATACTAGCAGCAACCCGCGGCTTCTCTCGCGCTAAAACTACAAAAAGCTCTAAAAGGTAGGTTTCATACAAACTCACTTTCATAAAAATGCTTATACACGTATTTATTTAATTATATTGAAGAGCATTAATACCAAGTTTCAAGTAATTCTGATCACAAACAACTTTTGGGTTGTATTATAACGTGTTTTCCCGTGGGATTTTTGAATGAGATAATTTACCGCGGTAAAAAGAGCCCATGTTACTTTTCAGCCCTCCAACTGTCTCCACACGCCAATCAACATCCTCAAAATTCAAAATCAAAACCAAATCACACCAATTCGTCACTGTGTTTCGACGTTAAAGAAGAACAAATAAACACACACACTTTCACATTTATAATATTAGTGTGGAAGTAATTAATTTCAAAATCATACCTGCTCGAAGCACAAGCAGTATACCTATATAAAGCGTAAATAAATGGAAAAATAACTTCGTTCACTTCTAATTTAATTTAAGAGAACGTGCACAGTGTGTTATTTCTGCTCAATATTTAACGTAACATAGTAATATAATAAAATATCTAATAAATATCTAATAAAATATCTTAATAACATAGTAATATAAATAAATATCAAAATATGTTGTTATAATATTTAATTAGGTATTCCTTACCTTACTTTGCTTTACAGTAATCGTCAGGCTTCGAATTTATTTACCAATGAAATTATTTAGAATAGAAATTACAAAGTTTATAAACTTCTTACAATTTAATTTGTTGTTTCTACCGCATAATCAATATAGTTATGCAAACTGAAAAAGCTTTACGCTTATAACTGAAACCTTATTTATAATAATACCTAGCAAAGCTTATCTTTGTACTTAAAACTTATTAAAATTAAAATGCTTATAAATAAAATCAATCAATACTGTAAGGTAAGTATTTTAGTGCCATTTTATTGTTTCTTTAAAATCATTTTGTAATTTGTGAGTAGATACTCTTTGTAACAACTAGGTATATAATAACTTTTGAGATGTTTAAAACCTTAATCTCTCCGGTGGCCACGTTTGCTTTGAAAATCCTTTCGGTCAGTAAAATATAACCAACAAGCGGTCCATCATCGCTTCACGAGAAGTTAATACTAAGAAAAATTAATATTATATAGTTTAAATAATCAGCTAAATATTACTCAATCATTAGCTATCTATTAGTAAAAAAAAGTTTATTGCCATCAATATAACGATAAACGTTTTTACTTTTTTGCCAATGAATAAACCAACAAATCTTTATTCTTTATAACATTATTATTATATTAGTATAGAATTATAGATAGACAATAAATGTTGTTGCTAAAACGAAAAATACGAGGAATCTTTGTGCCATTGTCCACCTCCACCACCTTTTCTTTTTATGCACGATGAAGTTAGTATATACATAGATATGTTGAGTATACTAATATAGTATAAAAGAGTTCGGTTTATAGTCGTTTGAACGCGAGCAGAGCCGCAGGCAAATATGGTATTTTACTACTAGCTTTCTCCTTAACCTACATATAAAAAATATATAGGTACATACAATATCTACAAAAAGCTCATAAAGTAGCGCATTCAAACTGTAAATCTTGCAATAATATAATTTACCAAAAGCGATTTATGTTTCTGAATTGGAAGCGAATTGCGACCGCCACATATAAATTTATCACATAAAATACACGATTTATCTCATAAATATGGAACTGCGATTGTAATACAAATAACTTATTTTTACCTTTTTCTATTAAATACTTACTTATTCTTTGAAAATATAACTGACTAGCAGTACCCGTGGCTTCACCCGCGTGCAATCTACAAAAAACCCTTTGGCTTTATCTTAAACTAGCGACTCACTCTCGCTTCGCTCGGGTTCGTCCCTAGCTTGGTTTCCCATACAAACTTTCATCCCCATTTTCACCCCCTTAATGTATGATTTCCGAGATAAAAAGTATCATATGTCCTTCCCAAGGTGTCAAACTATCTCTTACCAAATTTCATCTAAATCGGTTCACTAGATCCAGAGATTACCCTCTACAACGTCATAAACTCACAAACTCACAGACTTTACCTCTTTATAATATTAGTATAGATAGCGACTCACTCTCGCTTCGTGTATTTATATAGTTAGTTTAAATAGTTTTACAATAATGTATGGAAGTCTTCCCGATTTATTGACATTTATGATTACTACTCCGCTCCCTTGGGTAGTAGCATGATGATATATAGATAATAATTTTCATGGACATTTTCTCTTCTAAATAAAAGAAACGCAAACAATGTGATCTGAATTAATAATTGTAGTAGAATAATTTAATATTCAATGAAATCCTAAGCCGAATCTGTACATTAAATATTGTTTGGAAAATCTTATTGAAATAGTCATCATTATCGATACGGAGGTCGAGTCGAGTAGTTTTTACATTTTTTTGTTTGTTTGTATGTCTGGGAATGCATCACAAAAAAATCAACTACAATCACCACGGGTTTTGATGAAATTTGGTATGATGATAGCTTGTTATCCGGACCAACATATAGAATACTTTTTACCGCGGGAAAATGTCTCATTTCTGAGAAAAAATACAAAAACTGCAATGTAAGAGTATACTAATAATATGTGAAACCTAAGAATTTAGTATTTGGTCATCTAAACGCGAGCGGAGCCTTGGGCCAATGCTAGTGTATATATAAAATGCTTTGTCCTGACTGACTGACTGATGGATCAACGCACAGCCTAAACCTCTGGTTATAGAAACGTGAAATTTGAAGGACGTAACCGTTATATGATATAGGCATCCGAAAAGAAGGTACTTTTTGAAATTCAACCTCTTAGTGGGTAAAATAGGGGATAAAAGATTTTATGAAACTCTGTCAATCTTAGTGTTGAATGCACGGAAAGTTGTATTTAGCTTTATGATAAAAATCAGAAATCCATATATTTATTAGATATTTTTCGAAATTCTTCCCATATAGCACATTCAATAAATCAAATCTGACGTTATTCCAGTTAATACATAGGAATATCTCATGCAAGTCTGATAAAATGGATGATCAAAAGCGTCGCGCTTGTCAGCACATTACACCAATGAAATTTCATATTAACGTTAGCACATTCACAGGCAATTGGCTGCCGTCTCTGAGACATCTGGAACACCTGCATTGGCGACCATTTGCGGTGGGATTGCAGCTGCCATGGTCTCTCTTCTTATCCAACTAGAGGTGTTGGTGGAAATGATGAGCATCGGTAAGGCCTTTTTTTTTAATTATTAACTACTTACTTAAATATCCCGCAGCGTTACTAACTACTGTACAAATTTTCATACGATTTTCACCAATAGAAAGAAGCATATTCTAGGAATGTTATAAGATTTGATAATATAAATAAGTCAAAATCGTCTCTTTTAAAAACGCACCCGAGTGAAGCGAACCACTTGATTATATATATTTATTTATCAGATATACATATATATATATATATATATATATATATATACATATAATATATATATATATATATATATATATATATATATATGTATATATATATATATATATATATATATATATATATAATTACATATACACATCATCAGTTTCTTATAAATCTTAACTTTCCCAAAGTCCCACATTGGGAAAGTTAAGATTTATAAGAGGAGGAAGAGAAGGCGTATATTCACATAATTTTATGTACCATGACGAAAATATAAGACTTTTACTAAAGCTATTTTGAAATAATAAAAAAAGAAATATTTCCCTCCTTTTTCAATAAAATTAAAAACCTCCCTGACGTAGCCCAAAGTAAAAAAAATAAAGTGTAAATACATAAGACAGTACACACATTACAGACACTTAAATACATTCATATATAAATACTTGTAAAATGCACACTTAAAAATCTTAAATTATTCATACGGAAAATATACTACACCAGATAATTGTACAGGCGTGTACACAATAAATCATCCAAGTTTACCCACTTGCATAAATAAATGATTTAGGAACGAACATATTACAACAAACATACTATATATATTACTGTTGAATTTCAAGCACTAGGTAAATAGTTTATATTCATATGCATAAATAGATAAAGACAAAACAATTCAGTCCTTTTTTAACCGACTTCAAAAACGAGGAGGTTCTCAATTCGTCGGATCTTTTTTAATCTATATTCACTGATTACTCGAAGACGCCTGAACCGATTTGGATTATTTTTGTTTCAAAGAGTATACTTCTGTGGTGTACAGTGTGTCCCAGGGTATACAACCATTTAAATTTTATCGAAATCGGTCGAGCGGTTTAAAAAAATCAACAATAAATATTTTTTTTAATAAATTGCTTAATCGACTAAGTTATTAAAAAAACTTTCTTCTTACAAATTACCTGCTTATTACGTCTACACTAAAAATGGAAAAATAAAAACTTAAAAAATACATGACTAATATGTACAAGAGGTAAATATAATTAAGTATGAATTCTAATTATAAATTAAATATTATACATCAATTTATTTATTTTACGTATCGAAATATATTAGATTTGCTTTGCATCGGATATTCGGTCTATTACGTCACGTCCTAAGATGAACACTCTAACTATTTGGTGATTGCTAAATAATAAAATATTAATATAAACTTCAACAGCTACGTAAAATATTTCTAAACTTATCTGAACAAGGTAAGGTAACGAATTTATATATTCAACCTTTTATACGCCGGCAAAAAGTAGTCTCATTTGTAAGTGATTCAGAAAGTATAAAAGGAAAAAAAATCTCCAGTACCAATCTATTAGTATTTATAAAAAATCTTGGAAGATTTTACGAAAAGGAAAATTTTTGGAAAAGTATAAAGATATATAATAAATACCCTTTAAAGAAAGATAATTTGAATATTTGGTTCTATAGATATATGTATATACTATTTCATTAGAATACGTTTACGGTGCCTTAATCGTCACAATAAATGACAATCGCGTGAATAAAAAAAAGACAAAATAAAAACAGACTTCAAATAAAACACTAAAAAGTAAAAAATAACTGATTGGTACTTTTCATTTACTATATGTAGATATGTAATCATCAGTTATTTTTACTTTTTAGTGTTTTTTTAAAGTCGGCTTTTTTAAGTTTTTATTTTGGCCTTTTTAGTGTACACAATATACAGTACAATACAGTGATAGCAAAGTGACAAGAAAGTATTTCAATAAAATATTTAAATTTATTTCAATACATGTTTAAGTTAGTTTGATGCAAACTTAATATGAAGACTAACAAACTAAAATTAGCTTTTATTAGTAACACTAAAAATTCTAGCTCTAAAGTCCAATTCTAATATAATGGGCTTGTCAAATCAAAAAACCAAATAAACCCAAACTTATAGAATCAAATATTAGTAACCGTTGAAGAGTTCCACTATCCAGACAAGCTCGATGATACCATTTCAATTCTTTAGCATAATGATTTTTATGCATGCCAGTTAAGCACAAATTATTACGCCAATTGTACGTCGAATGGAGGAATCACGTTCCACATTGGCCGGTGATATTTTAGATTATACCACTAAAAGACTGGATTAAAATCATAAAATAAAAGGATTTTAAATTTATAATCAATACAAAAAAAATACTTTGTAAAAACATGTTATAAAACTACTAGTACTTAGGGAAATGTTACTTTAAAGCGTAATTTTTGAAGTTATACTTGTCTTTTCACGTTTGGGAAAAATTATGAGAGTGAAATTATTAGAGTAAAATTTTTACGTAGCGTGCACACACTGACAGCAAAAAAGCGACATGATGAAGTTAGCTGAAAGCGATATGATGAAGTAACTGCTTTTATTTTACAAACACACAATTGTGACATACGGGACGAAATCTTTAGCTGTTTTTATCCTGCTACGCCAAAGAAGTATAACTTCTTACGTACGTACTTAAGTACACACACAAGTTTTATTTAATATTTAAAATAATATTTACATAAAAATATAATAGGGGACTAAAAACAAACACCAACAAAGGATAGAACATTTAGGGGGGCCGGGGACTTTGAAAGGAAGAGCATTATAAAGGAAACGAAGGAGTTTGGCATTTGAAAAGGATTTAGGAAGCTGAATCTTCATCTAAGCCACACTCGCATGATGAGTGATCCCTGACCCTAATCTTGGCCAGATGAATATGAGTACTTGCTTGTGTGAGGCGTAGGCGACTAATAGTAGCAATAACCCACCGTTCCGTATGTTTCTGACTATAAAACATGGTCACTTTGGAATCTCAGTCTGAATAGAAGTATAATGCTATCCCATAAAAGATTTTGATAAGTTCCAGTAGCTGATCCAGGATTTGTCCTGATAAGTTTTCGCGAGTGATAATGAATCTTGAGCAGAGTTAGTAAAATGTTCAAGAGTAGCAACTTTAGCGCAAGAGGCAGCGGACTTATTGCCAATAATACCAGAAAGAGCTAGATTCTAATTGGGCATTCAACCCCTTTTTGAGACATGAGAGTAATGCTTCACGGATCTTTAAAATAATGGAATACTTTGATTCGCTACGGAAAGGGGTTTCTTTAATAGTCAATAAACAACTTAAGGAATCAGTAAAAATAACAGTCTGTTTTATGTCATGGGAGTGGATGAACAGGATTGCTTCTAGTAAAGCAACAACCTCGGTTGTCAACACCGACTATTGGAAATGATGATGATGATATTTGAATTGAAGAACAATTTTAAATTTAGGTATTCAACACTCTGGAGCAACACAGTCATCATTAGACACACACACAGCTTAGATCATCTGTATACTCGTATATATGAATATGGATCAACTGAATTTGATACAAATGAGCTTGAAACTTTGTGTTTGTATCAGCGGAACTCTTTACTAAACCAATGTCTGGTATTATAAGAGGGGGATAAGTCAAGGCAAGATATTGGGTAGAGAAAAGTGAATTGAAGTTTCGATCATACAAAACGAGTATATTATCATCGAAAAAACAAACACTGGCAAAGGTTTAACTCAAAATGATAGTTAGAAGTATGTAAGCAAGAAAAACTAATTAGATCTGCTTACATAGGTACTATTTCATGGTTTCTTTTTCTCAAAAACGTTATACTCTATGTCAAATAAAATATTACTGGAACATCTTGAGTCATCTTAGTAGATTAAAATTTAAAATAACAAAATCAGTCAAGCCGCCTCTGAAATAAGTCTTAGGTGAACATACATAAAAAGATACATACAGACGTACATAGACATGCCTATTTATTGGTAGTAAAAATTATAAGTGTTTTGTGAAATAAAATAAAAATGTACCGGAAGTAAAGATAAATATTGGCTAAAAAGATGATAGATTGGCCAAAGAGAAGACCAGAGAATAAACGCAAAAGATAGAGAACCAAATTTGTAAAAGGAAGAAAACAATTTATTGGTATAAAAATAATTTAATCACATATGAGTATAAATTAAATAAAATATACATAATAATAAATTTAAATAAAATAAAACAAGGAATCATAAATTGTTAACCTAACGCACACTTTAGACCGATATTTAGGTTCATAGTAATTATGACGATAGATGTAGTACAAGCCCGCAAAATACTAACTGTCCATAATTATTCAATTTCGGCCGATTAAAAGCTTGTTGAAGGTTACCTTTGTATTTACCACATATTCATACATGATACAGAACAGTATTCACACAGTTAATTAGGTTAGAAATTAAAAATTAATCAAATAAATTTATCAGCGCCAAAACTTTGCTCTAACTGATTATAATATTAATATATCGTCGTTTATTGAAAACAGGGATCGTAGGAATAACATTCATATTACTCCAATATAGAGTCGCAATAAATTTTATTTTTTAAAATACATATATTTACGTCAAATATAGTTTTTTAAGGCAAAAATCTCGGTTTAAATATACGGTTATATAATATATCGAATAACAAAATAACACGAAACTACTTTGAACAAAAATACGATTCATGGAGAGATGCGAGAACAAAAGTTGAGTGCTTCTAAAATGTATTGGTAAAGGGAATATCTATGAGTATGTTATTTTAAGCTAAGTACTTCATATCAGGTTCTAGCTTCCGGTTATTTGCACAATATGTACTAAAGCCCAAGCTAGCAAAAGCAAATCAGTTTCTATCCATTAATCTTCGTAGTGGTTGAATCAAATTTAATAGGACTTTCACTAGCGTATTAATAGTTCAGTAAAAAGGATATGTTATTTATCTAAAAAAAT